CAAGAGATCTCCAAGATCAGCGCCCATTTTTGCCAATGGGCTTTTTGTGATCTGGAGCACCATGCTATGGATCAAACCACTTTCTTGTGATGTGTGTGCAGAGGAAATTTTAATTCTCTCTCCTCACTCTTGTAAAATATCTATGTATATTGTATCAATGCTGTACTGATCTCTGCAGCAAATTCAGATCCTGCTCCTAGAAATGCAGATTGCCAGTATGAGTTATTCTAGCATAAAGCAAGGATGAGTCACTTCAGGTGACCATTGTAAAACCAGTATGGAAGCAACAGGTATCCAAGCAGGACATCTCCACATCAGATTAGGAAAAAGGATTCTCATGACAAGATCTGCCAGCCAGACTTGCAATTACATTTTTATGCTTTCAATGTTCCTTTCAGATTGTTGCTACCGTCCTTCTTGGACTTGTGCTGACTCCGGCTCTTTCACAATTCCAAGTGAGTACAGTGACCAAGTTATACATTGCTGCTCTTCTTCTACATTCCCTACTTCCTGAACTTTCCTCCTCTCTTCAGAGGAAAAAAATCTAAATGTTTTTCATGCACGAAGTCCTGAAACCACAAGAGAACCACTGTAAAATTATCTATTGTAAATTATTCATTAATATACTAAAATTATTCTTAGAGCTACTACAGAATGCTATGGCCTTACTCTTTCATCATTTTGACAGTACAGTGGCCACTGAAGGCGCTCCTTATGAGCCAGCATTTGTTATATCATAGCACTGATTTATCTAATTATTTTCTGATTTTCAGTTATCTCTGGGGAGATAACTGGCTATCAGTTGGAAGTCTAAAAATGTTATTTTTGTTTTCCAGTTTCAGAATGTGAAAGTAAATGGGGGACAATACCCTAGGACAATCACCGTCAATGTTGGCTTTGGCCTCCAAACACTGACCATCAGTCCAAACTCCCTTGTGGCAATTATTCAGTCAGATTCGGCTGAGAATGCATGGACAACTGTTTGGAACTACGGAACTGTAAGTGGCAAGGAGCATGCTTTTTCAGAATATTTACAAAGAGCCTAGCTCCTATAATACCCAGGGAGGTGGTGGAGTCATCATCCCTGGAGGTATTCAAGAACTGTGGAGAGGTGGCACTCGGGGACATGGCTTAGTGGCCATGGTGGGGGTGAAGCAACGGTGGGATATGGTGATCTTAGAGGTTTTTTTCAACCTTGATGATTCTATGAGTGGGCATGGTGGTGATGGGTTGATGGTTGGATTAAATGTCTGAGAGATCTCTTCCAACTTTAATGACTCTAAGATTCTATGAAAGCTGACCAAAATAAAGAATTATTCTTATCAAGTCAAAGTTTGGGGGTAGAAACACTCTATGTTCGTTACTTTGTTTTTTAATACAGATCTCTATGATTTAAAAGCTGAATTATTGCATTCCAACTTTTTTTTTTACAGGGCTACATTGCAACCAAACTTGGACAAGAGGGAGTCTGCTATATTTCCACAATGAACAGAGTCCTGATGCCTGCTCTTAACTCAATTGCTGTCTATGCTGAAGAGTCTAACGTAAGATAAAAAGGGGCAGTTACTTTTCAGACTTTCCCAAAACAACAAACAACTAATGACTATAATAGCATGAGTGTTCAGCTTATTAGCCTTTTATAGATACAGACTCCATTTAAACTCTGAGGACTAAGTCATGAGAGAACATGGATTGGTGGACGGTTGGACTAGGTGACCTTCATTGTCTTTTCCAACCTCAATGATTCTGTAATTCTATGGGCATGGTGGTGATGGATTGATAGTTGAACTAGATTATCTTAGTGATCTTTTCCAACCTTAAGGATTCTACAACTCCTTAATTCTTTGAACATCACATATTCATCTCAGCCTCCACATTACTGGTATGATTTAGAACAGGAGTCATGTGGCTGTAGCTGAGTTATCTATACAAACCAGCACAAAGTCTAGGTTGTGAGAGAAAATACAGGTATCCAGAAATGGTGTCCAATGGACAAATCACTTAACAAGGAAAATATGCTTGAAATTCAATGAAAACAAAGCACTCTGGAACAGTGAAGAGAATTTATCCCATTAAAACATAATTCTTAAGATCATAAGAACTGCTTTCAAATTATTTTAATGTAGATACATTTGCCAACTTTCCTATTGCTCCCCTTGGTTCCAGTTTTAGAAAATGGAATTGATTTCTTCTCTTTCCACTCTTCCAGTTACGTCCCAGGTACCTCTATGGTGAGAGATTTATAAGTGACTGAGGAAATCCTTCTGTATAATTTTAGTAGAACAGCAAGCAGTCTCACTGTTTCAGAAATAGGAATGTGCATAAAATTAAATGGATCAAGGCACCAAATTATGTCATTTGATGTTTAGAATGTGAAAGGCGAAAGCGTGCTCTCGAGCTCCATCAGGTACGTCGTCTCCAGAAGACAAGTTGGTGACCTCATGCCTTATGGAAACGATATCTTCGCTCTCTGCAGTGGACTCCCAACCTTCCTTGCTTTCGAAGAGTCACAGCAGGAGGGTGGTAAGTTTTATCATATGAATTATAAGCTAAACAGGTGATTTTGTTTCCTTTGGCAATGTACTATTTCTCTTGTTACCACTGAAGGTAGACATAAGTCTAAAACTTCAGGCCTTGAATGGAGGGCTCAGGATTGGAAGAATGTTTTGTTACTATTCTCCAGTTCAGAGACTGCTGACAGTTTATAGGACTGTTTGATAACAACAAAGCCTGATAGGGCCTATTAAATATACATACATACCTGTATAATACACAATAATATATACTAACGATATAGGGTATAATAGTGTCCCTTAGTACTAAAAAAGTAAAGATTATTAAGTAGCGTCAGTTTGCATTCCTTTGTTTGAGTCAAATATGCAGCTGACAACAAAAGAATCACAGACAAATTATTTCTTATTATTCCTTATTAAATTTCAATCATAGACAAATTATTTCTATAGCAATGATTATAACAAAACATTGCTTAGTCAGAGGTAAAGTGCAAGCCATTGCTATGCAGACAAGTATAAATCGTTAGCTGTCTTCCTGTTGGTGCCATAATAAGGGTTTGATGACTTGCACTAACATCTAGGGAATTAACTCATGGTATTTTTTTTCTTTCTTTTAGTAAACCAGATTTTCTACAACCAAAACGCATGCTACAGACTTGATGTCCTGAATCTTGTGGGCATTGACTACTGCCGTGCTGGCAAAGTTTGAGCACCATGCCTTTCTTGAAGCTAGTATCGACGCCCAATATCTGAACAAAGCCATCCCTGATGCTATTCTTCCCTGACATCATGTCTTTTGAGAGTTTTGTTCTTCATGATTCAGATGTTGTAAGAGATCAGTTGGTGATAGTATCTTCCAAATAAACACTTTTAGCATGAATAAACTGTGTCTGTTTTCTCATTGCTACACTTTTTATGATCAACAAAAGCTTCAAAAAATAAAGAAATCCAATTTATAGAACGGTTTGGGTTGGAAGGGCAGGAGCCTTCAACACCACTAATCTGTAGCTTCCCATGACCTCCTTTTTCCTCTTTGAAAAAAAGATGTTACCTCAACATTTGTTGAAATTCCCAGCATTGCTGAGACCTGGGCTGATTACTAAAATTTCACAAGCAAAATATTTATCTACTGAACTTAATATTCCCCTTCAGTGAGAGGTTACATCCACATGCAAAAAGTTAGCGGTTCCTGATAGACAAGCAGTGGAAAAAACTCTGACCACCAGAAGAAAAACATAATCCAGGGCTACACATTGCAGCAGAGACAAATAAGTTTAAAGCAGAATAAAGTCAAATAAGATCACCCTACTGTCTTGCTTTTGATTTACTTGAAAATTTAGAGCAATCCAAGGAAGAAAAAAGCACTTGGCCACTGGGTGTCAGCCTTGAATTATATGTTATAGAGCAATTGAGTCAGTAAGATTCCAGTTCAACTATCCACCCAGCACCAATATTGCCCACTAAACCATGTCCTTAAGAGGACACACAGAGTAAGAAAAAGCACACCCCTCATTACCCAGAGGGGTCTCTTGTCCTATGCCACATCAGACTGTTCAGCTCAGTTTTGTTAGTTGTGTTAAGACAAGTGTCTTATTCCTGTGCAATGATGATGTATTTATGATTACAATATCAATGGCAGCAATTCATTAAGTCTCACTTATCCATGCATGCTGCTCTAACACCTTCCTCAACCATCAGGAAAGTAGAGGAATGCTTTGAGATCTTGACAGAAATCATTACCCACTGTATAAGCTGGACATTTGTAAGCCAAAGGGAACTGAACCCAGCCCACCTTCCCTAAAACCACAATGAATGAGTGCTCAGAAAACCCACCCAGTGATGATACAGGTGGATGACACTTCAGCAGCACCCCTATTACCACTGGAGGAACCAGCTTCCATGCTGCTTAAGAATAGATAAGAAAAGAAGAAAACCAGCTGAAGTCATTCCCTTCATTACTTAGTTACCCAAATGCTAATCACACACTAAGAACATCAGTTGTAGCTTAATTAACCATTGAGCTGCTGTGTGCAGCTGAAGCACCTTGGCTGCATGAGGAGAATTTGCCCTGAATCACATTCATGCCATAGCACAAATCACAGCATTTCACCTCACATTTTCACCTCTCCATCTCAGTGCTCTGCTCTCCATCTGATGCCTCATCTGTTGGTTTATTCCCAAGCTTTATGGGGCCTTCTGTTAGCCTGAAAGCAGAGCCATGCAGGGAACCCAATCTCCTGCACCTTTCTTTCCTCCTGCTACGTTCAGGCTAGAATTATTTTCTTGAGCACAGCATTTTTATTCTATCCTGAATTGTTACTTATTTGTTCATTTCAGAGTCAGTCAAAAACAAATAAGAGGGAACCATACAATGGCTTGGGTTGGAAGGAACCACAAAAAACAGCTGGTTCCAATCCCCAATAAAAAGGAATAAAAAGAAATAAAATTCCTTCTTCTCCTGAGAGCATTTGATTTGGAAGGATGCTCCCACTCTTGGGACCTCTACTGTAGCTCTTGTCGGCACTGAGGTTGCTCTGAATTGGGAATGGTGTTATTTTTGAGTTGTCTTGCAGCGTTTTGATGCTGTTTTTGGAAGAAGTCTGAGAAGATGAGTTTCCTGGCAAGGTTTGCAGGAAGAGGGAGGTTTCAGCCCCTGGTGTCTGGCCCCTGGAGCAAGCTAAGGATAGCAGAGGGAAGCATGGTCATGGCACGGGATTTCTTAAGACTGAGAAAACACAAAGAATGAATGCAGTGGTAATTTCGCTTTGACTTTTGCTACGTTGCTCCAGGTTTTAATTCTTTATGCCTCTAACTTGGATACTGGCATTGGGTGAAAAGTCTCTGCACAATCCTGCGTGAGTGCTATCAGCAATCTGCTCACCCCAAACCTTGCAGCCTGCACTACGTGTGCTCAATGCACAGATAATGTCTTTTCCATCCAGAGACTCCAGTTACATTGAGTTTTCACCAGTAGGTGGCATTCTCTGAGCTGCTTTTTTTTTTCTTCTTCTTCTTTTTATCTTTTTTTCTTTTTTTAATAATAACAATAATAATTAAAGGTGGACAAGGGGAGGGGGGATGTCAAACTCCCCCTGTACTTGCTGAAGTCTGCAGTAAAGCAAAATCTCTCTGTTCCTGTTGGGAAGCAACGGTGGTATTCTCAAACTAAGGGAGAGTGAGGGTCAAAGTCCCTTTAAAAAAAAAAAAAAAGTGAAATACAGTATTGTGCATCTTGAAATCTGAAACCAAGAAACAGAAGTGCAAGGGAAACAAGGGGGGAAGCCTTGCAATTCCTGAGGACAACTGTTGCAAGTGGTGTTTTAAGAAGTAAAATACCTGTCTGTGCATTTAAAGGGTGTTGAATGGCTTTTGGGGAGAAGGCTGTGAAATAAAGGAGATCAAGGGAAGACTTTTTTTTTTTCCTCTCATCTTCTCTGGATATAATGGCCATTGCAAAGCAAAGCATCGCCAGATTTGGCTTGAAGTGTTTCTTCTTTGCAACTTTTCTGCTGGTGTGTGATGGACACAGTGGGAAGAGAGAGAACGGGGGTCCTGCCTGCTACGGAGGGTTTGATTTGTACTTCATTCTGGACAAGTAAGTCAGTTCTATCCGTCTATTTCAAAGCAGTCTTTCTCTTGGTGTGAACTGGGGCACCATGTGCTGGGTTTTTTTGTTTGTTTGTTTGTTAGTTTTGTTTTGTTTTTTTGTTTTGGAGAATTCATTTTGTCCCCAAGGGACTGAGAAACTCTATTGTGGTGATGATAACTTTGGTGGGTGTAGCCTATAATGCTAACATGCTTTGAAAATCAAATGGGTATATAAATTTTGCTGTGGTTGATATCAAACCTTTCCTCTGTACTTGGCACCATGCTTGGGATGAAGAGCAGGACCCTGTTCATGTTGGTTTCCCCACAGTGATATCTGAGGCACTGTGGGGAGATGGTACTGCAGAATTAATTCTGCAGCTGAAAACGTGCAAAAAATGTCTCCTGCCTGAGGATCTGCTGCTGCCCATGTGTCCATGTCCAAGCAGGTAAAGACGAGGCTCTGAGATGTGGCAGCCCTCTTTAAAAGGGTCTGATTTTGGCCATTCTGTTGGGAAAAAAAGCGAGATTGCTTTATTTGAAAGCAAACTTTATTTTTCTCCAGGCTGAGTCACATTTTCTTTGTTCCTGTTAATCAAACGCATATTTTGACTGCCTAATTGTTTGTGCTGGAGATAACTGCCCACTCACTTCTTCATTACTAATTCTGATCTGGATGTGGTAACTGTGCTTATACAGTGGCAATGTGAAATAGATATAAGCTGAGCTTTGGAAAGCATCCTGTTGAAGCAATGCAACAAGCTAAATGTGTTAGAAGTTATGGTTAAAACGATTGTGGTAAATTCCTTAATTAATAGTTAATAGTTAATTAATTCCTTAATAGTTATTTTGAACCTCAAGTTTGGAAATATTGGAGCACGTAAGTGCCAGAGCCATAGCACTGGCATTTTTAACCATAAATTTGAGATAGGAAAATATTTTGAGTTGCCAGCAGCTCTCTGTCTGATCCTCGGAGTGTTTTTCAGTAGCAGCCACATTCCATTTGTACAAATGACTTGGAATTACATAACGCTTTATTGCAAAATACTGGGTAAAATGTAAGGCTGAGATGAGTGAGCTGGGTGTGTTACTGTGCCAGCTGTCCTTATTCTCCGGGGAAATAATTTTTTTTTTTGTTTTACTTCATTCAGTGGAAAGAAGTTCCTCTCGTCTATTGCACAGTGTTGCTTTGGCCATTCTGCTGTTAACTGGAATAATTTATAGAATCGTTTCAGTAGGAAGGGACCTAAAGGGCCATCTAGTCCAACCCCCTGCAATGATCAGGCACATTTACAGCTTCTATTGCTCCACCTGAAAAACAAAGCATGATTTGCACTGCTGACAGCTTTTGCAAACCGAGTTCTCCTGAAGGTTGGGGCAGAATGGGAGGTTTTACCCAATCTGATGGATGTGCTCTGGAATAGCTCTGAGCTATTATTTCAAGTTCTGTGCTGTCCTTTTACTGGAGGAATGACTTTCTACACTTGCTCAAGGAAATTTATGCGGAAATTCAAAGCTTGGCACAAACTTAAAGCACACAGACTCAAGGTACTCAGTGCATATATCAAGGTATCAAAAAAATCCTGCTTGAACGGTTGTAGGTTTCCCATTTTTGGCGCAGAAATCGACTGATACAAAGCCCACTGGTGTTAAAATCACACTGGTCTCCAGTGGAATTTGAAGGAGTCAACGGTGTTCAGCTGCTGGTGTGTGCTGTATTTTGTCTACTGCATTCTGTAGCCTTTGAGGTAGCCAAGGAGAAACTTAGAGTGGTGCAGGAGGTGATCCCATCTTTTTCTTTAAAGCTGTATTTTGTTCTTCAGAATCACAGAATGGCTTAGGTTGGAAGGGACCTTGAAGGTCCTTGAGCTCTGGGCCATCAGCATTCTTACTTAGCTTGGATTTTCTGCTTTTTCTGCTGTTTTTGTTTGTCTTCAAAGATGTTGCTGAAGTCCTGAATGACTACATGGACCTTCTGGCAAACTGTGAAATGAGCATAATAGATCCAGGGTGCACCTTGCTGTTTTTATTAGAAATTGCTTTAAAAATTATGTGAGCTTTGGTGATAAAGATCCTGGATCAGATTTAGGTTTTGAAACATGAAGCATTAATGGCAGTGGTGGAAGAAAGCCATTAAGATATTAAGCAACTTTCTGGGATCAGAGGAGGACAGAACAACAATAAACACAGTGCTGGAACTCACCAGTGCTGGAGCCCTATCCTGACCCTTTGCCTCAGTGCTTGGCCAGATTGAGAGACTACTGAAATCCATTTAGTACCTTGGATGCTGTCCTTATCACAGTGCTGCTCTTGTACCGCTGGGTTACCAGAGCATCTTTAATCTGTGTGAGCACTTGCATGCTTTCGTTAAGCCTTGACTGTTGCTTCCTAAACTGTGTGAGTGCTCCTCTTGGAAGTAATTATAGAATTACAGAGTTGTTTGAGTTGGAAAAGACCTTAAAGGCCATCTGGTTGAACTCCTCTGCATTGAACAGGGACACCCACAACTTGATCAGATGCTCGAAGCCCCATCCAGCCTGACCTTGAGTGTCTCCAGGGATGGGCATCCGCCACTTGTCTGTGGGCAACTTGAAAGGTTTGAAGAAGTACTGCACACACAAATACCCAACTTGATATTCTGAGCTGCCTGGCAGCAGGTTCGATGAAGGATTTGTGATCACATGAGTTGAGATTGGATTAATCCATTTCCCTTTGACTATGATTGTAAAAATAATTAATAATGTGGGTATGGGGTGTTGCAGCTCAAGCTGTAAGATATTTAGAGTACAGTTATCTGATATTTGCTACTTTGATAATATGCAGGATGTAGTCATGCATATTACTGAGCATTCCTCCTAATCATACCAGGATGATCTTAGATGATCTTAGTGACCTTTCCAACCTTTACCTTCCACCTGGCATTGTGGAAGGTAAAGCCTACTGGTGTAGTTAAGTCAGCTGGTCCTACATGGCACATCCTTTAGTGTTTCTGCATGTTTTACTGCAGTGCTGAGTGGTTTTGGTCATGGTCTGAGCCTCCTGTATACTGAATGGTGTTGAAACAAATGGCTGAAGAATAATGGAATGGATGGATTGGAAAGGGCCTTAAAGATCATAGAATCATGGAATAGTTGGGTTAGATGGGGTCTAAAGATCATCCAGTTCCAGCCTCTGCCATGGACTGGTTGCCCCCTACCAGATCAGGCTGCTCAGTGTTCTGTCCTTGGCCCTGGGCACCTCTATGGTGTCAAACAATTTGCATCCCGGATGTGAGATGAGATAGGGTCTTAATTAAGAAAGAGTGAAGAAGTAGTGAGACAATGCTGTATCCATTGCATGTCAAAGGCATTATTTCCTATGCTCTTTACTTTCCATGTGCAAATAGCTGCACAGTACATGTCTGTAAGAAAAGTTGACTCTAACAGGTCCTTAGCATGATGAAGCAAGTAAGGATGAGAGAGAATGGCTTCAAGTTGTCCCAGGGGAAGTTTAGGTTGAGTATTAGGAAAAACTACTTCTCCAAAAGAGTAGTCAGGTATTGGAGCAGGCTGCCCAGGGAAGAGGTGAAGTCACTGTGCCTGGAAGTGTTCCAGAACCTTGGGGATGTGGTACAGAGGAGCATGATTTAGTTATTTTTTTCAAGTGCTCAATGAAACGATGCTGCAAAACTTCTTGGGTCAGTGCCACCTCTGACAACTCGGAGGCATCTTGGAGTTGGTCCAAAAGTAGAAGTTTAAGGAAAATCTGGATCAGCTTCAGTCTGAATCAGGTCTCTGTATGTACTTCTGCCTGCTGCAGTGCTTGTAGCTGCTGTGAAAGCTCTGTCAAAGAGTTTGGGGGTTGGAACTAGATGAAGCGCGTTTGAATAGGGTCATCTTTGAGGTTTCTTCCAACCCAAGCCATTCTATGAGTTTGTGGCCTTGGCTCTATTTTCATCTATGTTGTGAACTAAAAATACCGCTGTGGATTTGCTGAGAAGGTGCAGTAGGAGAAATGGAAATAAGGAGTTCAAGAAGTATAGGAAAGACAAACTAAGACAGTTTGTGTCACTACAGCTCTGGGTTATAGTGCATGGGTAAGAGAAAGGCACCTGCTGGGCCAGCATGTGGCTCTTTGCCTCTGGAAACACTGAGCTATGTGGAGTGTCTCTGCTTTGGATTGAATTTAGATGTACCAAATCCCAGCACAGTTGACCACAAAATGTATCATTCTCTTGTTAAAGGCATAATAGCTTACTTATTCTTAATTTCCACTTATTGGGCTTTTCTCCAGCAAGAGGATTTGGCATTCTCAGTGAAAGCCTTTACGTAAATTGCAAGTTTACACCATCAACCTTTCAGCCTTGCAGCACTGGCTTGCAGATCATCATCTTTTTTTTTCTTGGGAATATGAAGACATAACCTTAAATTTCTCTTTAATTGCCTTGCAGTTAGGCTTTACGAATATTTCTCCTGTTTAGAATTCTTGGCATGCCTAAGGAGGGGCTGCATAAGTGACATTTTCTTTGAGAATTTTTTTTTTTTTTTTTTTAAATCAAAATATTTCTTCTAAATACAGACCTTGGTGTCTTATGCACTGAGACCTTGGACTGATTCAACAGAGAAATGAACTGCACGTGGACTGTAAATTGTTCACCTACAGATGGAAGATGTTTTGTGCTAAAAGAAAGGATCTGTGTGTGGTCAACAGAAGTGTAAGCCTTTATTTTGGGACCCATTTTTAATCTTGCTCTGGTAGACATGAAGAATAACTGTACATTATTACAATTATCGCACTTTGGTGCTTTTGTAGCTGAAAGAAGAAACCATCCTCCACTTGCGGGGTTTTGATCATTGCAGTGATACAGAACTTCCTTATAGCAGACAGAACCTTCTGCTGCTCTTGAGCTTCAGGTCATTTCTCTTCGGTGTCATTACATGAGTAGGAAGGCTCCCACTGCCCAAACCATTTAAATAAAGCAGAATGAATTCACAGATGCAGACAAGTAAACGGGGTGTGCTGCTGACTGGCACATTACGGAACAGAGCAATTGGTTTTTAAGCTTCATTCTGGCAAGTGCTGTTTCAAAAAAATGCATGACTTCAGAGCCATGGAAAATGGCAAGAGTTATAAATGATGACCCACATACCATATGTGCTCTGTGTCTGGATCTCATTCTCAGGTGCTTTGCAGTAATAGTAATTTTAACTGATGGTTAGATTCTGCTCAGTGGTTTGCAACAAAATGAAAAGGAATAATCGCATATTTCTAGGCTAGTGTTGCTGGTCTAAAGCAACCTACATTTCAGTGCAGGATGTAGTAAGTGGTTTATGAACTCTTGACTTTATTGTCTTCTGGAGGCTGACGCAACCATTACAATAATGTCGAGTGTTTATTTTGTGCCTCACCACGTCGAGACAACAAATATCCATTTTCAGACCCTTTCTCAGTGATGGTTTGGCATTGATGGGACTGGGGTGTCATATTCAAGGTCTTAGAGTTATTCCACGCGTTTGAGAGAGATTTGCATCTGGGTTTGAGCTTTGAGTGTCTCAATTCTGTCAGTATACAAGCTAGTGCAATTTGGATGTGACTGAGTTTTTTGTTTGAGGGCAAATCCTAATGTAGATCATTCATCATCTGTTACAAGACATCAATTTTCTCACTGTCTGTGTGGTTTAATTTATTAAGACCAAAGAAACATTGAGCTGTTTGAGTTGGAAGAGTCCTTAAAGGTCATCAACTCCCCTGCAATGAACAGAGACATTTATTTGGCCCTCTGTGATACACATGAGGCTGGAGAACAAGTAATGATTTCAAGTCTTGGTCTGATGTAAACATTTTGTGTCTCTTCCCTGAAGATCCAAGAAACACAGAGACATTAGCAGCTTCTTGTGATTGAGTCTCCTATGCAAGCTGTTACAGAAAGAAAACAGGGTGTCTGCAAGGTTTTATTTATTATTTATTTATTTGTTTATTTTTATTCTCTTTTGTGTAGAGAGAACCTGTGTTGTTCACTATTTATCCAGATGGAGCATATGTGCAAGGCTTCCCATTGCATGTCTCCATCTAAGACTGCCTTTGGACCTCTGGGGTCATACAAAGAAAAAATGATTTGAGGGATCATGGAGAAGTGGATCAGGTGAAGGGTTATACTGAATGGCTGTAAATAAGAACCAGGTGTGGGGAGAAGAAAGAAGGAAATTTATGTAACCTATACAATTTGGTTTGCATGCTTGCAGTATTTCTAGGAAGTGAAGTAATGGTTTTTGCAGCTCAGCAGGGGCTGCTTGTGCCAGGTGTGTAGAACTTGGTTGAATCTATTTGTGGGTATTCATTTAGATTCTCAGCCCTAAGGTAGAGAAGAGTTGGATCAGATGCCTTTTTTTTTCTGTGAAGTGAAAAAGCATTCTCAAATAATCATATTTCTCTTCTCAGGCTGCAGATCAATGAGTTTTTGAGTTTTCTGTTAAAACTGGGTTTGTTTCTCCCCTATAAATATTTTTAATTGTAGTCAATGAATAGAAATAAGTGATGACACATTTATTTTCCATTTCTAGAAATTATTTTTTTCCCCAATATTAATATTCCAATATTCATATAAATGTCCATGCCAGAAGGTGCACTTAGTGCTGGAAGATTCTAGTTAATCCCATTTTTTCCTGGTTCTTACAACATGAAGAATAATCCAATCCCATCCAAATCCATAGCTTATTTTCCTGGGGAGCAGCATTATTTTGTGTTTTGCCTTGAACTGAGCTATGACAGAATGGGAAGCAACAGCCAAGATGTGGACTGAAGGTATTTTACTTTTCATGGTTTCCAGCACGGTCAAAATGTTAGAGAGGCTTAGGAATCTGTTCCTACAACTGCATTTCATTCCCAAAATGAGCTAAAAGCTCTGCACAAAGCTATGGCAAATGAGTTGGTTGAATTCATATAACAGACAGTGCAAGGAGACAGGCATTGCTAACACAGGGTTTATTTGTTTAAGCTCTGCTAAAGGTCTGACATCACTGCCACATGTTACTGTGATGTGTAGTCTCAAATAGTTGCATGGAGCACAAATGCTTTTCAAAGTTAAGTAGGAAATGTAATTTACATTTTAATATTTCTTAAAAGGAAGAATAGAAATAATTCAATGAGCAGTGTGTAAGAAAGCACTAGGCTTGGAAAACTACAAAGCAGCAATTAAATATGTCCTGTAATCATTATTTCCCATAGATCAGGAAGTGTCCTGCACCACTGGAATGAAATATATCACTTTGTGGAACATTTGGCCCGTAAGTTCATAAGGTAAGAGGTACTAATTTGTAGATAACTGAGAGAGGAGGGGTGTCGAGGAATACATTCTGATTTCCCCTTGGGGAACTCACCTAGTGGAGGTTCTTAATGTATTTCTCAGATCATCCCATTAATGGCTTTGGAATTGTTCCTGAACTTCCCCCTGTTCCTGTCCTGTAGGACACAGGAGCAGATAATCTAAATGGATCCTTCTCTCCAGCCTGACTTCTATGGACCAAATTGTACTTTTGCAGGCAGGGAATTCTCATCATTTCTGAGCTGCCTGATTACTACATATTCCTCATGGTATTCCTTGGCTAGAGCTGCCCAGGGCAAAGCCCCATTTGCTGCTCAGTCCTCTCCTGTTGAGTTATAATCTTGGTAGCAATAAGAGCACTTTGAGTTTGTTATTACACATGCATTAAGCTGTGGTCTGGACCTCCGAAGTCACTTCTGCTCTCTCTTTTTCTCCAGCCCTCAACTGAGGATGTCCTTCATCGTTTTTTCAACCAGAGGAACAATTCTGATGAGATTAACAGAAGACAGGTAAGATGTTTAAAAGTCTTTCTACATCTTCCTTCGCTTTCCTTGCTCCATGACCTCCATCTCTCAATCAACAACATGGTGACATCTTTGTTCTTCTCAAATGAATTAAATCACCTGGCCATTTCATATATGACACTCATTCTCCTAAGGTGCCCTAAGGTCTCTTAAAGCAGAAGTTGTCTTCTGAGTTTTAGCTTCTAAATGTCTTTTCTTCAGCAGCTGAGCTTTAAAGCCAGATAGTGCTCTATCTGGGAGTCTGCTTTCCAGACATTTTCAGGCTGTTGTCAAAAAAAAACAAGGCCTCATTGCCTTTGAAATGTCTGTAGGGAGTTTTTTCTGCAAACAAATAAGTGAAACTCCCTTCCCATAAAAACAAACTTGAAAACAGTACATGATTATTATTCTCTTGATGTAGAGATGGGAATGATTTCTCAGATGCCTGAAAACAAGCAAAGTGTTTGGGATGGATTGCAAGAGTGTGTATTTTTGGCAATGACAGTTTGATTGTCATGTTTCTGAAGCCTGTTCTTCTTGCTCCCTTGCAGATCCTCAAATTAATCCCAGCGAAATCTGTAGGATTGATATATTTTTTTTCACTTTGCCTTCAAGAGCTGGATAGGGTTCTTTAATCACTATTGCTTCCTCTGTTAGCTTCACTGCCACGTGGAGCAAAGATATATGTAACATATGTGAAGGCTGTATAAGTCAGCATGTGTTTTACATATTGGATGTCTGTGAAATTGCATACCAGAGCAGCTACTATAGAGAAATGAATAGGAAACTGGCCACTTTCCTAAAGAGCAGTCCACACACATACCAACCTTGAAAAATGTCATTAAAGCCAGGCAGCCTAAATGTCTCTTGCCATTTACCACAACAATAAGTAAAAAGAAAATTAACCATGTGTAAGTTGGTGCCAGAGAAAACCTGCGCCTGCCTCTGTCTGTCTCTCACCCTGTTGCAGGGATCTCTGGTCTCTTAAGGCTTTAAGCTATGAGGCTTGCTATGTATGTCTCCCATGTGGAAATGTATTTCGTATTTATGCAGCTGTCCTAGAAATGTTGACTGGGAACAGGATATTGATATGGCATTAGTCAAAAGCCAGCTGAATTGGAGAGCTGCTGGCTTTTTATCAGAGGTCTAAGAAACAAGGGGTGGGCTTCCTTCCAGTCCTTCAGCCAACACAGTCTTTTTAGTAGGGAAGTTGGAAAAGTGGCAAAACTTTCTCCATCTTCCCCAAGGTTCCATGTGGTCTATCAGCATGAAGAAGCCTGGAGAAGTGAAGTCACTATCCATAGCAGTTTTCAAGAAGAGGGTTGATGTGGTTCTGAGGGACATAGTGGGCATGGTAGGGATAGATTGATAGTTGGACTCAACTATCTTAGCGGTCTTTTCCAATCTCAGTGATTCTATGGGCCTGATGGTGATGATAGTCCAACCATCAACACATCCCCATTAAACCTGTCACTCAGTGTCACATCTACATACTTCTGGAATGGTCACTCCACCACCTCCCTGAGCATCCTGTTCCAATGCCTGAACACTTTCAGAGAACAAATTTTTCTTAATATCCAACCTGAACCTTTCCTGGCACAACTTAATGTCATTTCCTCTCATCCTCTCACTGTTATTGGGGAGAAGAGGCCAACCTCCATCTCACTACCAACTCCTTTCAGGAAAGTAATAAGGTCTCCCCTGAGCCTTCTCTTCTCCAGACTAAACAATCCCATATCCCTCAGCCACTACCCACGCAGATAAACATCCATCCAATCAGACTTTATGGCTTTTTGATTAATTTGCACAGTCAAATCAGCAAGCACAGGTGAGGAATATAACCCATATGCAACTCAGCAGCTCTACTTCTGCAACAGAGGTTTGATCAGTGCTGCACAGGGAATATCTATTTGGAGAGAAATGTGTATGGAGAAGTGGTTGTCATGGCTTTCTCTGGGCTGTGGGAATACCCACAAAGAGCACATCTGCTCTATTTTCTGCATCCTTAGAAAGGTATCCAGACATTACCTTAATCTATATATACATTGAGTTAACTCTTTTTTCTCATCTCTATCTGATTTCGGCCATGCGTGTCTTCACCGGGCTATCAAGTCCTGATACATTTGATCTTGGATATAACAATTCATCTGCATTCATTTCAGGGAACAGATACGTCAGGGTCTAGAAGAGCTTCAGAAAGTCCTTCCAGGAGGTGACACATACATGCATGAAGGATTTGAAAGGGTAACTAGATGCATGTTAGAATGTATTTAAACTGTGTCTGGGTTGTTAGAGTTGGTTGGGATCTGAGGCTGTGGCCATAACCTGTTCACTGTCATGGACAAACAATGCTACTAAAAAGTTATTGCCCTTTCCAGTCTTCTCCTATATATTTTACAAGGTCAGGAGTTTGTCTAAATCTTTACTAGGGAAATCTTGAATTCCTTCCCATTCTGTACTACATGTGCATTTTTGAGCATTGGGAAACTGTTTGTTGAAAAATGCATTGAACACACCTCAAAAATTGAGGTGACAAAAACAGTAACAAATTTTAAAAATTTAATAAAAAAAAATTAAAACTTTAAAATAAAAAAATAACTTTAATACTTTAAAAGTATTCTTCTGCCAGCTTTTTAGTTCTTTATTTTGGAATGTTGAAGCATTTGTCCTTCAGCCTTGCAAAATATGCTTGTGTGCAGTTATGGCAAGAGATAGAAGCATGTGAATATCTCTTTGCAGTTGGTTTGTTTCCAATTGGAGTAGTTGACTTAGAAGTGCTGGAGAGTATATATCAATGGACAGAGGATGTTTCTAAAGTAGGAAGGTGAATGTGATTTCCAGATGGAGTAGTGGGAGATGATGATTGGCCAGCGGTCCTAGGGTTTCTTTGAGTTAATGCTTTAGAAAAGTCATGCAGTGAAAGCCACAGGCAAGAAACTTGTTCTGTGAAGCCAGTAAGAGGTCATCTGTAGGCTACAATCATGACATCCTTGCTGCTGTCTTCTCTCTCTTTCTGGTACATGTGTAGATGCCCACAGGATTATTATTTATTGCTAATAATCTTCTGATTTAATTTCAGGCAAGTGAACAGATTTACTATGAAAATGTTCATGGTGAGAGACTTTCCTGATCCATTAAATATTTTTCCTTCTTTACTGATACCCTTAATTGATTTGAAATGCAGCTTTGCTGCAAGAGAGGTAGTGGGTGGCTCCTGTTCTTACAGGCATGCAATGCTCTTCAGGGTAGTTGCTCCTGAAAGGGAAAAAAAACAGGTAGAGCTTTAAGGGTCCAGACTGGAATAAGTGCTTTTCAGGCCAAAAGTGAGAAGCCTGACTGACTGAAGGTACCTACTGGTGTTAAAACTATCTGGTACGTGATGTTCTTTTCGCTTGAGGACTCAGATAACCATTTCTTCTTCCTTTTGAAACATGAGTACATGGGGATACTCTTCATAAATGTATTTTTCAACAAGAAATTAGTACATGTAATAGTAAGTGCAGTCGCTTCCAAAATATTTCTCCTTTCTTCCTGGTAATTAACATAAAATCTTTCTGCACTGGAAAATACAAAGTGGAAATAAAACGTCTCTTCTTGGAAACTGAAAGACAGGAGACCTGATGTTTGAGTACAAAACCAGTGCTAGTGGTTTTGCAAGGCCATTCATGAATGCAACAAAGCTTCGGGACTGAGCTGTAAAATCCAACTGCAGCAGAAGGGAACAAATACAGTAAATATACTGGGGATTGATAATGTTTTTACATGCTTGTATTACACTGCATGTAAACAGTGCCACACAAAAACAGGTTGAAGAAGCAGTGTACAACTGGGTCCTCAAGCCAATGTTGGCCCATCTACTTTTGCTTTACGAGTGCTGTGCCATCAGCTTTCCATAACAGTGTGCAAGTTTTATCTACAGAGCTCCTACAGACCTGTAATAACTCTGCTGCCAGAGATATGATTGAATTCTATTTGTCTGCTCCTGAAAATTAATATGAACTTGTAAAACCTGAGTTATAATCAATTCAAGGAGAAGACAGCAGTGTTTAATCATGATGCTGAAATATCTTACATAGAGAGACTGAAGAATATAGCTCGTTTTCCTACGAAATCTATTTATATCCTTATTCAGTTTTTCATCACAAGCTGAAACTCTACATTTCTTGAATTTACAGCATTAATAAAATCAGGAATTAATAGCTTGGAACACTTTGCTTAATTTTTCTTGCTGCCTAATCTACTGGTCTGAAATACTGAACTAGTTATTATGAGAGAATTTCTGTTAAAAATCATTGGCACCTGAAAGGAGTATGGTCTAAAACTGGAGTTGTAGGCAGGTGCCCAAATGGAAAGATTGTGCAGAAATTCATGTCTTCTGAAAACTGGTTGGCAGAAGGGAATAAGGGCATGGGATTAATGCTAACCATTTTCAGTTTAGCAGCTCATTAGTAAGATGTTTTCTATGTTAATTTTACTCAAAACATGGGACTAAAGAACTCCGTGTATTTAGGTTACAGAACTGCAAGTGTCATCATTGCACTGACAGATGGAGAACTCCATGAAGACCTGTTTTTCTACTCTGAGAGAGAGGTAAGTCTTGTACATTTTTAGCCAGGGAGAGAGCAAAATGTTTAGTTCTGTTGCTTCAAAGGCAAAATATAGGATAAATCTTTTATCCCAGGGAAGAAAACTTTAATTGAATCCTATAATAGAATCGTAGAATGGCTTGAGATGCTAGGAACCTCAAAGGTCATCGACTTCCAATCTCCCTGCTATGGGCAGCATTGCCAACCTTTGTGTTCTTCAGACATGAATCTTAGAGATAGACATTAACAGCAGCAGTATTTCTGACTCATTAAAACGGAGTCAATTCATATGTTCATAGAAAACAAGTTTTTTTTTTTTAACACCTTCCAGTTTAAAAAAAAAGTTTGGAGGTAGAAATAATCATTTGTGTTCACATCGTTCCTCTTCTCCTTATTCCAGGCCAATCGGTCAAGAGAGCTGGGAGCAACAGTATATTGTGTTGGTGTGAAAGACTTCAATGAAACCCAGGTAAACAAGTGCCCATTGTGTCTGCTGGGGTATTTTGTAAAGCCATTTGGGACAGGCACAAAATCCCGACTTTGTTTCTCTTTCCTCACTCTGACTGCTTGACAGTCTGAAGTGTCTACCTGAAGCACGTTGGTCGTGATGCTGATTTTAAGCCCCTTTTGCCTTCACCTCCTTCTGTAGAGAAGTATTCCTCTGCTCATCTGCCACAATGATTGTTGTGGAAAAGCAGGGAAAAGGCAGAGGATTATCAAATCCATCTGGTGTAAGCTGTAGATAGAAAGTTGTGTGAACTTTGCTTTTTAATGTGTAGTTCTGTGAAAGAAAAATGTTTAAAAAAAAAAATAATAATTATATGGCAATATCTCATTTTTGTGGGACAAAAATAATCACCTTTGTTAGTGACTGTAATATTTTACTGTCTTTTCCTATTAACTCAACAGAAAGACTTCTAAATTTCATGAAATTTAGAAATTCACTGTGTCCATGAATTATATTTCACATGTAACATGAACTACAAGTGGTCCAATCTCTGTCCTCACAGGAAAGGCAATCCATTAACAATCTATGCACAGCACTTATGGTAGTTTTTGGTTTTTTTTTTCACTTGCAAGTGAACGAGTCTTAGAATCATAGAATTACAAGTTGGAAACGACCTACAAGATCATCTAGTCCAACCATCTCCTCATCACCATTGCCACCACTAGCACTAAAAAGTCTTAAGAACTCCTCGTGTGCTGCCTGATGACTAATTGATCTCACTCTTTGCATTTCTGTTTTATTTACTTGCATCGTGCTGTCAGCTGGCAAGAATTGCTGACAGTAAAGATCATGTCTTTCCTGTGAATGATGGTTTTGAAGCCCTGCAGGGAATTATTGACTCCGTAAGTATTTTTAATCATATATTTGCATGTATACGTGTTAGAATTTGTTACCTGATAGTTAAAGATTTAGTCTTATGTTCACAAGGATCCGCTGCCTATGAGTAAATCAAATGCTGTGTCCAAAGAAATCTTAATTGGTGATAATATTGCTACTTCGAGATTGAGTTTTTATAAGCAGTTTGAAACAGAGGAAGCATTGAGCCCAGCCTTCCAGTAGCTAAAGGGAGCCTACAAATGGGAGGGGAGTCAACTCTTTGCAAGTGTAGATAATGGCAGGACAAGGGGAAATAGTTTTAAGTTGAGGGAGGGAAGATTTAGGTTGGATATCAGGGGGAAGTTCTTTACAGAGAGAGTGGTGAGATGCTGGAACAGCTGCCCAGAGAGGTTGTGGATGTCCCCTCCATCCCAGAAGGTTCAAGGCCAGGCTGGATGGGGCCCCGGGCAGCCTGGGCTGGTGTTAAATGTGGAGGTTGGTGGCCCTGCATGCAGCAGGGGGGTTTTGGAGCTTGAGGTCCCTTCCAACCCGAGCCATTCTGTGATTCTATGAATCTTCACATGTTTTGCTCCTTAATATGACATACCAGGTTTAATTTACAATGCACTTTGGGACAATCTGTAAACTGGTGGCCACGAAGTCAGTCAGCAGAGATATGGGCACACTCTATAAGGGAGATTAGAGCACTTTTTGGTCTCTGTATTCCAGTTTGATTGGCATATTTTCTGCCCTGATAGGTGGATGAGGCACTGCTTACCTGCACAGAATCAGGGAAAAGATCTTGCTCTCTGTGCAAAATCCTGAAAACTCTCCTTTCTACACTTGGCCTCCCAGTGTGTTTTATTTTTTCCCCAGACTCATGTTTCCCAATTCAGATTGATCAACTGCTGGCATTTCCTGTAGGGCCTGGGCAAAGCATGTAAGAGCTGGTGCATGCAAATGGCTGGAGGGTGAGCAGTTCACTGGCAAAGAGAGAGGCAGCCTGGATTGTTTCCTTTCCTATTCCTTGTGTACAAGTCATGCAAATAGCTCTGTGGTCTCTACTGGCAAAGAGTAGGGCCTCATAAGACATCTCTATTTCTAGTTCTTAAGATGCTAATTGGTCTTATTCTTTCTTACTTATGACCAGGGCCTCCCTTGCCTGAGCAGGAAAAGCAAGACCTTAGTTTTTCTTTTGTTTTGCTCATAATCATTCTAATTGTATTGCTTCCCACAGCTACAAAGTAAGATGGGAAGTCCTATTAGGGACATGCGTTTTGTTCATTTTGGTGCAGACTTTCTTAGTTGATGTAACACAGATGGAATCTATAACTTTCCACTTGAATCTGGGTAGGGCAGGTTCACCGAGGGGGTCTCATATTTCTGTGTTTACAGCGGCTACACACCATTCTGACCATTTAGTACCATACAAAAAATCTGCTCCCACAGCACAGGCAGTTTTCCCTAGTTCTTTTGCATGCAGATGGAATCCCTTGTGTATTGGGTTTCCAGACACTGTCCAGGCATGGGGCTATGGCCTCAATCAGGTGTTGCATCTATTTTTAAAAAAAGCAAGAAAACAGTAAAAAGCTCTATTTTACTTCCCAGATCTGCATTCCCTTTGCAGCTCTTTTTAATGAATTCCAGAAGCAGTCCTGACTCCTTTTCAGTTGTGCTCAAGATAGAGGTAGACTTCAGCTGATGGGTGCAAGATTTTTCATCCCTGGAAAGGAGGCTCACAAGAAGTAATTACACAGCAGTGACTCTGATTCCTGCTGACAGTGTGGTAGCATTGCCATCTTATAAGGCAGGTAGTGCCTTGCATTGAAGTTACTGCAATAGGCTGTGTAAAAAGGAGGTCTGTGAAAGGAATGGCAAGAAGGAAATTAATCACTGTAGAAAACTAGACTGTAGATTCTTGTTCTAGCCAGAAAACAAGCTGCCTTACTATTCCGTGCCTGGAGAATACCTCATTCTTAGTGTAAACATAGTATTAATGTTCAAAGGCGTATGGGAACTGCTGAATCATGGCCTGAATCTCTGATTGATCACCTGGGGTGAGACTGAGTCAGCTTGGGAGCACAGGTGAAGGCAATTCTCCTGTGCTGCTGGACGGGGTGGAGCCTGGCTGCACCTCTCCTGGACCCATTTAAGAGCTGGCTGCCAGGGGGGAAGGATCTCTGCTGGAGATCTGCTCTGCTGGAGTTTTGCAGCAAGTCCAGAATATGGGTAAGCGTCCTATCTTTTCTGCTTTGGTGTAGTAACTGTGCAGTCAGGCTCTCTGGTATGCCTCATAACTTAACATTTGTACGTTCATTGATTGTACAATAGGAAAGCCCTTTCCTATTGAAAGAGCCACGAGATTTGGAAACCATGGACTTCTTTCAACTCTATGTAAATGCTGGCATAGCAAGGATGCTTAGCCATGTGAGAAAGGGATTGGTTAAGCTACTAGGTACTGGCTGATGTAATGGGAAGGTAATATAAAATAAATCTGGGAGAGATTAGTGCTTGAAATTGCTTTTGAGATGTGTAGACTCGAGTTTGCTCTGGTCTGCAGTGATTTGATATGAACTGCTCTGTCTTCCTGCTGAGGCAGCCCAACTCTTTCCTCCTCCCCCTCGTCTCAGGGAGCAAATCTTCCCCCACCTTTTGCATGTGCAGAGCCGCAGGCTTTGAGGTCTCTCCAAGAGGGCGGGAGCTGGGAGGGGTAGTGCTCGAGACTGGCTCTCTGCTGGGTATGCATCTGCTGAGCAGAGCTGTTGGAGGTGGTGGGTTTGCACATGTCTCGGAACACCCTGCCCTTGCTTTCCAGCCAGCTCGTGGGAGCCAGCAAGTCTTCAGTGAGCAGCGGGGAGGAGCCCTGCTCTGTGCTGTTAACGCAGGATTGTATCGCACTGCCTGAGCCCCACCAGGCTATTTGGACTGTGCTTAAATGAACTGAAACATAAGTCTTAAAAGGAGAGCTGTAGGCGTTCAATATGCTGTGAGTTTTGGTCCTTTCTCTCCTGTAAGTTCCAATGTGATTTTTTTTTTATTAAGCAAATGAATTAATTTTTTTTTGTTTTCTCTCACTGAAACAGTCACTGCTACAACTTGTTTTCCCCCTGTTTAATGCTGGGATTTTTTTTTTGAGTTCATTAGAAATGAGGGAAGAACCTGGTAGTGAAAGCAGACACCTGATTGTTGTAAATGGAGAAACAAGCTGAAGAAACTCCAGAATTTATCGTTTTCCTTTGTACTGTGTTTTTTTTTGTTTGTTTGTTTTTGTTTCATGAGAAAATTCTACGGATCATAACTTGTCAATTGAAAGCAAACAGAGTAAGTCTTAGAAGGAAAACCAGAAACTCAACTTCATCTTCTGCTCAGTGTCTTTGATAGAAGTGCTGCAGGCAGTAAAACATGAAGCAGCGTGAAGTCAGGACAGGATCTGGTCGTTGCTTTCTTTTGATCGTGGAACATTTTTGAGAACTTAATGTGAATGCATCATAGACCAAGTATGAGAAACGATGCTTTTCTGCACTCATCCTGAGCTAGCTGTTCACATGTCACCTACAAATATATATATGCTACAGGTGTTAGGTGTTAGGGAGAGAGGATGAGAGTTGTGTGAAGGAAAGATGAAAGTCATTGTTGGTAGATGGATGGTTGGACTAGATGGTCTTGGTGGTCTTTTCCAACCTTGATGGTTCTAGGATTCTATGATTTCACTGAGTGCATGCATATGTGATTGGACAGAAAACACTGCAGAAACAGGTGACTGTTTTGTAGTTGACAATAGATCTTGTTATTTGACAGTCCAACAGAGCTCATTAATGAGCACTTAGCTGCAAACTGGGTCATTCATGCTAATAATGGATAGTTAGCTATGTGTGGGTACTTTGGAAGAATGTCCTTAGGGTCTTTCTTTTTGTTGTTGTTATTATTGTGTTTTCCATTCCTTTCGTATTCTTCTGATGCTTTTCTGCTCAGCTCTCAGCTGTTGACTTTCTCTTTCTTTTTTCCCTCCTAGCAGTTCCTGTGTAATCTCGTTCCTGCAAATCTTTCTCCTCACTTGTCAGGCTGCCAGCGGCTCAGACGGTTCTGCTTCCCTCCCACCCTTGATATCCTGTCAGTCTCTACCAGCCCTTCTTCTGAGTAACTCAGACTTTTGTGTTAAAGTTTAAAGAAATTATAACCATAACTTCATGTAATTAAATATTCGAGGCAGGTAGCCGTGATTGCAGATACAAAATAAAAACACAACAGATCATCTCTTACAGAATTTGTTGTGCTGGTTGCTTCTCTTTCCTTACAGATGTTTCAGTTTAACACTGGGAAAATAATTTTCATGTTGGATTTGAGTCATGATGCTTGGCTGACATTTGCTTGCCTCTCAGAGCTGACCTAAATTTTGATCAGCATTGCATCATTTAGGGGCTGCTCAGCCCAGCCCTGAACACCCACCACTCTTGGTCACTGCTGCTGCTTTCACAGGGGCTCATAAATGCTGTCACAGGTTTGCTGTCTGTGTGCAGCAAAGAATTGGAGTCTTCAGAGGAGAGGGGAGGCTGCTCTCTGCAAAAAAAAAACAGCCTGAGAAATTCTAACATAGCATGGGAATAAATTGAATACAAATCTAGTGTGATCTTCCTGACTTGCAGGTAGTCTGCCAAGGCTGATGCTGAAGTATTTATGTAAATCACTGCCTGTTAAGTGGTTGAAGGCAGTGCCAACCCTTATGAAAAAATACTGCTTCACTTAAGTTTCTTGCCAACTTAATCAAAATGGGAACGAGCCCTTTTTAAGTCAAGAAAAATTATTCTATATCTTTATTTTGCAGTGTTAAGCATTTAGATGACAAGTGCTTTCTCAAGCTTTTGTATTTGTGTATCTCCAGAAAAACAATTCAGACATTTCATGACATTTATTTTTCTGTCTTTTAGATTTTGAAGAAATCTTGTATCGAAATTCTGGCTGCAGAGCCTTCCAGTATATGTGCAGGAGGTAAGTGTAAATGGAGGTGCAATCTGTTGACTCATACCACTCCCTCTTTGTGTGGTGGCTCTAATAACATTGTGCTATGGACGCTGTGGCTTTAAAGTCCTGGCAAACATTTCTACGTTCTGTAGAACCCCCAGCTATTTTGGAAGAAAGCTTGAGAACCATTTTAGCATCTTCAATCTCCCGTGAGCTCCATGTTTTACATAGGGTTTCGTAACTGTTTGTTGAATGAGTTTTGCAGAGTAGGATGAGACTGTGATGCATTCTGTTTCTTTTTACATTCTCAAAATGGTAGTGCAAGTAATAAAGCGAACTGCCAATGCCTCTTTGTTTTCGCTTTCATTGCAGCTGCTGTCACAAAAGGAGCAGTGATAAGCTTGAAAAATACCAACAAATTGCTTACATGCTCAATTGAAGGTCTAACCTCTGTGTTTGGACAAATACTCCATTAATAATGTTCCAACTGCTAATTGTGACAGTTGGGACTTTGAGATTAATGAAAGTGACACTTTCATTGTGTCTCCCTCTCAAATGAGAGTTAGGTCCACTGGGAGTCTTTTGGAGATAAATTTGGCAGGTATATCTCTGATACCTCATGTTTTCTTCACTTTTGTGCATATTCTCGAAGACCAGTGGCAGTTTGGTTTGGGTTTTCTTTTTTTCTTTTTTTTTTTTTTTGGATGGAGAGAGCAAGGGTTCTGCTAGCCTAGGCAACTCTTGCACTGCAGACCAGCCCCAGACACTTCACAGCAACACATCTGTCTGAAATGCTGGTTTCCAAATGGCATGGTTTTGCATCACGATAGAAATGCAGTGTGCGTGCTGGATCTGTTTGCTTCAGTCCCAAGCAGAGACAGGATCTCCATGGTTAATCTGACATCATTGATGCACTATTCTTTGACTGTACGTGAACTCTCATTCCCCAGCAGTTGAGGCTTCTGCGATTTCTCTTAAGTATTCATCAGCCCCCGCACAGCTCTTTTCCCTCGTTCTTCCCAAATGCTCTTGGACAACACATAATGGACCTGTCAGGCAGCTTCCCTGGCTAGATGTGGTGGGATGATTTGCAACTTGGCTGTAAATGAGTGGGGTCTGGAAGAGAGCCCAGATTCCAGAGCAAATCTTTTTTTTTTTTTTTTTTTTTTTTGACAAGTACAGTGTATGAGTCCTTAAGGGAGATGAAAGGAGATGGGGACTGTAACGTGCAAGGAGGAAATTCTGAGTCTGCAAATGTCCATTCCTTGCTGTCTCTTGGGATTTTAAAACTAGGGTGGTTATTTCTGATGCACTGTGATTCCTCTGGTGTTGTCAGAAGAAACATTTTGTGTTTGATTGTCATTCACCAGAAGTAACATCAGCCTTTGAAGGTCCCTCCTAGATAGCAGCAGGAACTGTGGGGGTTGGTTCCCTCCCTGTAGGGGGTGCAGAGGGTGAGCCCCTGGCTCTGCTGCCAGAACATGACAGACAACGCTTGTCCAAGTGACAATTCTTTGCCTCCCTGTGGATCAGTAATCTGCTGTTTATTTTTTTCCTACAGAGTCATTTCAGGTTGTTGTGAGAGGAAATGGATTTCGACATGCTCGTAACGTCGACAGAGTACTCTGCAGCTTCAGGATCAATGACACAGTCACTCTCAGTAAGCTGTTTTGATTCCTTATGTATGTTTTTTTTCCCCTGAGTTTGCACTAGCAGGCATTTGCCTGGGAAAATCATTGGATTTTTCAAATGCTTTGGCTGCGATGGCAATCATAAGGGGATGAAGAGCTATCAAATTGCAGAAGGGAAAGCCAATCTCAGCACATGGCCCCATCGGGTGGGAGGAAGGCAGGTAGAAACTGCTCAGCTTGGATTCATGGACAAAGGTAATAGCACAGAATCATGGAATCATTAAGGTTGGAATAGCCCAGCTCCTGGGAAGTACTGTTTGCTGACAGAAAAAATGACAGGCACGTTAAAGCCTGAGTGCCTATTGTTTTTGTGATGGGTACTGAGGACCACTTAATTCGAGGAATTAATGATCCTATTGTTCTCATCTTGCATGCTTGTAAATCCACATAGGATGTCAGACTGCATATTTCATATCTCATATCACCAGTGGCAGTAGAATTTATTTTGCCTAACGTGGGATCTAGTCAGATAGTGTTTTGAAGATAGTCCTGATTCTTTATACATAAAATAAAGCAGCTTTATTTTATATTAAGAAATGCATTGGTGTGTAGAAAGGGAGTTAAAAGAGCTACAAAACTACTCAGCATAACAAAAGTCTCTAAACTTTCACGTTTAGGAGAGCCCAGCTCCCTGCTGTGGTTTGACATGGCCTTCTTTTAAGTCCTGAGCCTTCTTCAGACCAGATATCCTTTTGAGAGACTTGTCCTGTTTCTGAGCTTTAAATGAAGACTGATTAGGTATTTCAGTGTGTAGTATTTCGATTTTAGCACAACCTGGGGCAGTGTGTGCAACCTGAGTGACAGGGGATAAGGGTTGCATTTGGTTTATTAAATTATGCTTTTACTTTTGTTGTGATTGCACTGAATCATTTGCAATACGGCTGAAACATGCTATTTTTTTCTTACAATGCAACTTTTGCTCCATCCTAACATCCTGAACAATCAAAATTATGCTTCATGTTGTTAGTTGTGTTGTTTTTTCTTTTTAACTCAAATCTTTGACTGAGAAACCTGAGGGCTGTAGGTGGTCTCTTAGGAAAAAGATTGTTTATCCTGCTGGTGAAATGAAAGGACTATTCTTGCTCTTTATTGCAGTCAGTAAAGAGGGTTCATTTGCTAAAGGCTTCAGAGGAGGACAGCAAGCAGGTGGTACCTATGAAACTGCACCTCCTAGGAATTAAAGGGATTTGGGTCAATATGGTCCAAATCTTTCTGTGGCTTGCATTAACTAATGTCACAGTTTGTGGATGAGCTAAGAATAAAATGCAGTTATCAGCACTATAACTGTAGGCATTAACTTCAAGATCACCTTTCAAAACATTTCACTGAGTCAGAAGAAGATTAAGAGCCACGCTGTCTCATTATAATAATCTGGCACAGCATCTCAAATTTGAAAGCTGTAATGTGAGCACAGAATGTGATATGACTAGCAGATAAAATTAGAGCAAGAACATTTGCTAAATCCTGAGACGAATTTCTGGCTGTAAAATATGCAGTGGTACAGCTGGCAGTCTCAACAATATTGCCTTCAGCCCATTGACCTCAGATCTCCCAATGAACTTTTTTGGGGTGTGCTTTACAATGGCTTAGCATTACTGGGGAATCTGTTTTCAGTACAGTTGGACTGATAAACAACCACAGAAGGAGATTAAGCAGCATGTGAAGGAAAGCAAAAGGCAGATGTGAGCTCTGGGGAAAATGTGCTTTCTGGAGCAGGGATGAAGATGATGCTAAAAATAATAAGTGGGACAGAAATCTTTGGGAGACTTTTTCCCTTCCCTAGCTACCTATCCAGCACCCAGTTGAGTTCAGTAAGAAATGTTTGGGGAGCATCCTTGCTTAAAGGGACCTGGGGATTCTGGTGGGTACCAAGTAGGATATAAGTCAACAGTGAGGCACTATAGCAATAGAAAGCAAATCAGGTTCTGGGTTGCATCTGCAGGGGCATTGCTAACATAGATAGAGGTGTGGTCATCCAATTCTGCTCCATTCTATTCTGCTTGCTGCATTCAGTGCTCCCACAGATCAAAAAAGCTGCAGACAGCCTGGAGCGGGTCCAAAGGAAGGCCAAGAAGTTGATCCAAGGGCTGGAGAATCCACCTTACATGGAAATATTGAAAGAATTAGATGTCTTTGCCTTGGAGAAGAGGGGACCCTACCACAGTTTTCCAGTACTTGAAGGGCAGCTACAAGGACAACAGAAGCTCCCTGTTTGCAAGAACAAACATGGAGAAGACAACAGAGAATGAATGAGCACTTCATCTTCATTGGGATAGGTTCTTTCTTTGCTTAAGAAAGACACTTTTTCACAGCAAGATCAATCAACCACTGATACAGCATCCCCAGGGATGTGGTGGAATCCCAGTCTTGGTTTTTACAGTATAATTTGAGAGAGTGCTAGATAATGTCACCTAGGCTCCCTTTTCCCATGTAAGGTTGTAGCTGACAATCTTTCAAGGTTTTTTCCAGTCTGGGAAGATTGTAAGAAAAGATTGAAAGAAGAAAGCTCAGAGTCTAATGGTCTGAAATATGTGGGTCTTGGCCTTTTTAATTGGAAGTTTTAGAATATGCAGTAGGCAAACTGTTCTTATCCCACAACTTAGTTCTCTTCCTCCTGGTTTATGGGCTCCTCCAGTAGCTAGAGATTTGGTGCAGATCTCCTTTTTCAGTGGTCATCCTTCTTTTCTCTCCCGTGTAAAGCCTGTTCAGCACTCTATTTGCTGCTCCGCATTTTCTCTTGTCTATAGCTTGAGAGTTCCCTCTTTACTTGAGGCTACACTGGCTGTGACCTGCCATCTGTGCTGCATCCCAATAGCATCAGAGCTCAGCTTTCTGGCTCTGATGCAAGACATTCATTCCTGGAAACACACTAAAGTCTTCATAGAGCTGAGAATGTCATCCATCAGCTTTTCTCTATTCAGTGTGTCCCATCCATGGAGACACAAAAACATCCAGTGTTGCCAATGGGAGGAACTGCTTTTGAGGGTTACTTCACTCCCAAACACTGTGACCTGGTGCTGGTGGGGGTCAGGAAAAGACTCCTTCCTCCTCCTTTTTTTGTGTGCGTGTGTGCTGTCTCTGTACTGAATAATTTTCTATAGTGTCCATCATCATCATTTTACAATAGCTTTCAGGAAAGATCAACTTCTTTTGTTGCAACCCATAGGCTTTTTCCTTGAGGCTGTTGTCTTATGTCTACAAAATGGCCATGGAAAAATAAGGATGAGGGCCAAATACATCTCCCACCCCTCTGACCTGGTGTATTCATTGTGTCCTGAATCAGTGCATAGGTGAGAAGTAAACTTATTCTCCTTGGCACCACACCAAGACTTCTCTGTTCATTCTGCAGAATCCTGGAGTGCTTGGTGCAGTGACCTGGAAGCAGGAGGCCAAAAACTCAATTTCTGAGTTCAAGCTGTTCCCAGATTGAAGGAATCCAGCAGTTTCTGATGAGTGCTCCCAGATCCACGTCTCTCCTGGCAGAAATCTGCACTTTAAGCTTTAAGTTTAAGCTGCTCTGTGTGGGAATATATCTCAAAGCTTTTGCTTTGCTGTAGCCCGCAGCTCCAGCTGGTATTCTCCCTTGCCCACTTAGATGCAAACAGTTTAACATCAGTGTTAACTCAGAGGGAGTTTTATGGAAACCTTATGGAGAGCAGATGGTTCAGCTGTTTTTGTTTGCTTGAAACTTCTTGGGCTCTGATTGTATCAGGGAGGGAGGTATTTTTAAAGATAACACTAAGCCAGAAGTTCCTGAAACCTTAAATTATCCCTGATGAGATGTAGACCAGCACAGCTAGGACTTGCTGAGGTTAAGGACATGAGCTAATAGATTTTTATTGGGATTGCTGGCAGAGAAAAGTGGCAGGTGAAGAGAGCATTGGCTTATAATGTTCATAGCCATGGGATAGAAAAAAATAATTAAAAAAGGAACAGCTGTAGAAACGATAAAGAATATTTGGCTGCACAGAGCTGTAATCAGATGCATGTTCAACAGCAGAGTTTTTTCTGCCAGCAGCAGGACCTAGGAGAATTGGTTTCAGACTGTGCAGAGTTAAAACTAATTATCCAGTGCAGTGACTTATGACTGTTTGTGGTGCTAAAATGTCTTTGTCTGCCCAGATTGTGCAGGATCCAGCAAAGATAGCTCTGGGCATGGAGGCAAGCTCTGTCCTAGGCAATTTAAAACTCAGTGGAGGGATGAAAGATTGGTGAGGAAACAGCACGCACCACAGCAGAGATAGGAGCAAACCTCTTGCATTCTAGTGAATGCTGTGGATACTTGGCCAAAACTGATTCTTTCAGATAAGACTGTGTTTTTCAGCACTTAGTAACAGAAGCAAGGAAAAAGAGGCAAAGATGGTGAGAGCATGGCTTCCCCAGCTGTCACCAGAGTGGTCTATACAGGGACCTGTGTCCCCAGGCTGCCAAGCAAATGCCTTCTAAAAACAGTCATCTGCTTTTGAAGCAGATTGCTAATTATACCTTTTCTTTCCACTTTATTTTTCTGGCAGCACAGTACTTTTTCTTGTGATACCTTCCATACTTTCTCTTGTCCATTCGCAGAACAGGAAAGTTCTGCTCTGTGCTTCTATTTCAATCTCTGAGTTCCCTAATGTCATGGCACTTTAAACCTCCATGAAATGTTTCCTTTTTTTTTTTTTTCTAGTGGATTTTCCCTCTTTTCATTATAGTAGTAGTTAACATCTCCCACTGAACAAACTCCATCAAGATATTCTGAGGATGTGACCTTTGTGAAGGACACAAGCTATGCCCGTGTTTCCCCTAGAAGGAATAGATGTGTTTCTTGGGTGAAAACATACACCAAGGTGAGCTAGGCATCCTCTTTTGAAGGGTGGATCAACTCATTACTTCATTAAAAAATTAGTCACAGAATGGCCTGGATTGGAAGGGACCTCAAAGATCATCCAGTTCCAACCTGTGGAAAGGATTGCCAACCACTAAATCA